TGTACAATTCTGAATATTTTATAACACATTTAACACATTTCATGTAAAACTTAATAACTTAACATATTTATCGAAATTGGCTTCAAAAAAAAAAAAAACAACCACAAACTTTTGATTATTAGAGAGGCCAAAACCTTTAAACGCGATTATCTCGAAATGGCCAAAAGCAGTTAAGGCCCTTTTGGCATAAGGCCGACGATTTCTTGCAATCAAAAGTACTTGTAGTAATGTTCTGCTACCATTTATACTTCCTACCTGTTTAATCTTAAAGTTGGGGAATGATAAGTTCATGGTGTTGGTTTGTAAGTGGATTGTTTAATAAATGACATCAGTTCAATTGTTGTAAATTGATAGGTTGCTTGATGGTATAATGACCGAGTACATCTTTATGGGAAAATAAGCTCGGATACAAATGATTGATACCTAGTAGAGAATATACTTCACCCTTGATGTTGTCTAAATCCAGCTCTGGGAGTCCCAAAAGGCTGTGAAATTAATCTGCTTTTATGTACACGTTGGAATCATAGATGGAATAAATATGTAATGCCCTTACTATTTTTAATACAGATATGCTTAGTTAAACATACCAACATATTCAACAATAGAAAGAGTTAAGCAGTATGTCATTTGATACCCTGGTGCTCCTCACAGATAATTTCCAATTTGATACTAAATGTATAAATATTGCTTATCAAGTGTTTATGGGTTGCCTTAGCTGTGCCTTCGAGCTTCAATTTTTTTTTTTGTGGATTCAAATGTTGTAACCACTTGATATCCTAGCTGTTTGTTTTTCCCAAAGCTGCATAAATAACTTCTTTTAGTGAAATGATATGGTGACTTTACTCCCACAAATCTTGCAGCTTGGCTCAAAATAGAGAATATTTTATAACTGTGTGCCTCTATCCCTTTAGTATTTGAACACGATGAGGTGGTAAATAACATCTATAGCTCCGGGATATGCATGTTTTCCTCCTCTCTTAGTCTCAGATGCATTCAAAACCCTGTTCCTATTGCCAAGATTTGCGGGGTTTTTCTCATTGCTATATTTAGATTGGTTTTCTACACCTTTGTATCGGTTTAAGCCAATTCTGTTCCAGATGGTGGCTTACATGCTGCGCACCACACAGAGAGGTGTGTAGACCTAGTAAATGTAAGCAGTGGGAACGCATCTGATCAGTCCGTACTCACAGACACACAAGCATGCACAAGGAATGATGTTGACAGCTTGGCTCATCTGGCGCTAACTTTCCCATTGTCTGTCTAATGACGTTCTCATGTTTTTAGTTACTCAAGGGCAAAGACTGAAATTTTTAAACTCATAAGTGTCTTCTATAAATATGAAGATAGAGTTACGAATTTGATGCTTTCTTAGTTTTGTAATGATGGTCGTAGGAGGACCAAGCTGTCTCATTTTAAAGATCAAAATATCATGAAGGTGGGGATGGGTGTTACAGAAGATGACTAAAGGCAATGCCAACTTATATATTATGAAGGAACCTTTTGGAGAAGAAATTTGTGTTTGCATAGTCATGATGATTGCAGTAGCATTATCAAATGATCTAAAAAAATGAGTGAGTGTTTAAATCAGTAATATGATTTGAACATTTATGTGATTTCTTAGGAAGAAGGAATATGAATATCTTCATATCTTCAGTAGATTTGAGACTAGTAGCCACCTTGGCTGTGATCGTTGTTCTGTGCTTCAGAGGGAATGAAATCCACGGTATCAAATTTGAGTCTCAGTAAGTTAATCAAGGGGGGAGTGTTAACGTGAAAGCCAGTCTTTAGAGGTGTGTTCACACTGAGCAAGCAGTATCATGTGTCGCCAAGTTGTCTGTAGAAGACTTGACGACACTTCTCGCCTGTAAAAACATTGTAGATAGTCCAGTGTGCCAAGCTCAGCCAGCAAGAAGCCAAACGTTTTATGCGTAGCCGCGGCTATCACCCAAGGGCGTTCACCACGGAAATAATATTCACTCTCGAAGAAAAAAAGCAATTGAGCATTCGTAATCAATACTGCCACCTTTATTTTTCAGGGCGTATTTTGGGGAATGTGGGTGCACCTCGATGTCCAACTGTGGTAGACTACATGTTTTCATTAGAAATGGAATACGGGAGATCAATAAAAGCGCGTTTCGGGGGGATTTGAGACATGGGACGTGGGATGGATTACATGTGCAATATTAGCTTGTTCTTGGTACTAAGCTTGTACCATTGGCCCCTAGCTGTAGTTACACTGTACTATGCCGACAGTAGAAGAGGGTTTTGGAAGCTTTAGACTTCATTGATGATGGTTGGTGTGGTGATTGGGTCATGTGATATGAGCTCTGGATTGAAGAGTCATGTGACTGAGTGACAGGAGCTTGAGTGCAGGTTGCCACTTTCTTTCCATTTTGGCTTCTGAGGTGTAGGGTCCGTAGGGGTTCGTAGGGGTAGATCAGTCCAGGTACTACTTCTTGAGGTCTTAGGGCAAGTAACAGAAGAAGAGCTGACAAAGTGATACAGTGTGGCAGAAACCAGAGTATTTCTATCCCCAGATGACTTCAAGTATATGACATAGTGATTGAAAGCTGTTTGTGAGGAACCTTTTGAGATCAAGGCCTAAGTCAAAATGTGGTTTAATAAATCTGGAATGATGAATAATAAAGAATATGATCTTATTTAGAACCTTTGGCAAAGTTGGGCAATTGAGCATCATACCCAAGGAAAATGAAGTTCACACAATTCGATATCATAATATCATCACGATTGAAACATCCTATACCTTTAGGAGAAACTGATTATTTTTGGGTAAGATGCTATGTGGATAAAAGTTAACTAGATTGAGTTGTGTTGTATCAGGAATTCATGACAGTACTATTCTCTAGGGTTGTAGCTGCTGTATATAGTCGAAGATAGCAATGGGATAACATCCACATCAGATCAGTCAATATAACAATAGTGATCCTGTGCAAGTATCCCATATCACTAATCCAACTGTACTGGGATTGCTAGTTGAAAAATGAGGAGACCACTGTTAAAGTAATATACATATATAGTAGCCTTTTAATGATTGGAATGATCTTATCAAGGAGTTGGTTCAATTTAGGCAGATATCGATTGTAAGACCTCTAATGGGAACACCTATGGTGATATCCAAATCCATGGTGAAATATCAATCACACATTGATACAAATTTTGGTAGCATATAACTTCTTTCATTTCCTTGTGATATTCTGAATATTGGGAGCCATGCAATATGCATGGGATTAAAAGCCAAAGAGAGCTTCCAAAGAAAGATTAATAGTACAAATCTAGAATTATTTTCCATCAAGTTTTGCAGAAGTTATATAGTCTCCTCTTGAGTCTTCATCTGTATATTGTATGGTAATATAGGGTGACAGCTAAAATTGAAATTCTTATTTTACCATTGGTTTTGTAAGTTTGTTATCATGTTCATCCTAGAGGGGGATTCTACCTGAAGCCTCATTCATACTTGATGATCATATAAAAAGCATATAAAAATCCACTCCAGCTACAAATAGAAAATGATAGAATAGTAAATGCGCTTCAAAATTCTATATCTTGTAATACAGAGCTGCGCATGTACATGTAGAACTGCTTTTTTTCACCTGCACTTGCCATTCTTTTACAAATTATTTTGTTAAAAGATATTATTTTGCTGTGTTTTTTAGGCAGTCATATCATGTGTGAACAGATTACTTGTATATTACTTGTCCAGGTGTCCAGTCTCCTATACAGTCTCCTATACTTTAACACAGAGTTAGCACCCTCCTGGCCCTGAACAGACAATATAAACATAAAGGAAAGACCTTTGAATAGGAATATTATCAACTGCAATGAGCAAGCTGTTTAAAGAACATTTCTGGAGAAATTCAACAGTTCATAACAGGAATCAAGAAGGATTGGTGCCTCTTGAATACAAATTTGGAGTGGTTAAACATAACTTGGGATATGGCAAATGTATGTGATATGAAAGTGAGTGAATGAGAAGCAGTGGGTTAACATCCCTTGGGTACCCCTGAAGGTTGGTGAGTGTGAGTATTTTGGCCAGCGTTCACATCATTTGCTGTCCTGTCAAGACACTGGAAATCCAAACAGTGTCGATCGCAGCCATTGACTGTCCAGAGGCAATATTCAGACCGTTTGTTTGCATAGAACATGGGGCATGGGATGAGATATGGGATGAATATGTGATGAAGAGGTTTAAGGCAAGATAACTCAGTAATGACCCAGATTTATTTCAAGTGGTCCATGCCAAAGCTATTTTCAGTACCTTGTTGAAAATACCTTTATATTCTGTGTGTTTTTTGTGGATGAATAGAATTCTATATAGCTTGAGGCGATTCTATACAGCTGATAAAAATAGATAAAGGTAGAAATAAAAAGAATATTGAATAAATTCATGATAATACTACTGCAAGGAGACCAGAAAGTGCCTAAATCTTTATTTAAGTGTCAATTACACTGGGATAATATCTAAATGCATGTGAAATTCAGTTCTGATTTTACGAGGTAGTATGTCCATTATGTTATGCTCATGAATTTTGTGAAAAACATTTTAATGTTCCATCATCAGTTGTCAGAATATCTTGATTATTGTATTAAATAAAAGATGGTTGATATTCAGAGGAAAAGTATAAATCAAATTTAAAAAGGAGAAAAGTGTGTTTGCTGATGTTTTTCAGAATGTTTCATGTGGAAATGATAATACCAGCTTCTGGAAATAACGTTTATATAAAGAATAATATTCACTAGTGTTGAGAAGAAAGAAAGAAAAACTTGGCTACTATTTATTCATCCCATCCCTTCATTTTGATTAAAAATATATGAAAACAGAATATGTCCAGAATTGAGTCATTATAAATCATAATGTACATTTTGACCTTAATTTCTTTGTCTTTGATTTCACATGTTGTATATAATGGAGAAGACTTAATACTGGAGCTTTTGTATTCTAATCATCATTATCATTATCATTTTTGTCTTTGATCTTCTAGGTTGTTTACAATGGAGAAGACTTTATGCTTGAGCTTCTTGAGTTGGCTATCAGCGGCGATGACTTCACTCAGGTCTTTGGTGATATCACCTTCACAACAGAAGATGTCGATGCTATCGATCCTATCACTTTCCTCAGTGAAGAATCCTTCCTTCTTCTTCCAAAATGGATGGCAAAGGTAAGCTAGAGTTTTCTTCTTTTGTTCAGCAGAGTTTCTTCTTTCTCTATTATGGGTGAAGATAAAAGAGCTTGTGTGTGAATTTTGTCCAAAACTGTGCATGCTTGTGACATAGCTTTGGATGAGGAGGAGAAAGATTTAGCCAGCAAATATCTGCATGGGTCATAAGTTGAGTGCCGAAAGGGTGTTTAGTCAGTCTGAAAATATACTGAATTAATGCCCTTCTTGCTCTCAACACACATCATCTATAGACATAGCATGTTTTAAGTCACTACCATGAGTACCTCCCAAGGAAAGGGGGATATGTTACTCTACAATTGCAATTTTTGTTGTGTGTGCTGAAGTAGAAATTGCATATCTCTAGATGCATTTTTTAGTTTTGCTTTAGTTATTATAACATCAGTAATACATTGCAGGAATATTGAAATAGTAGCTTACACTTTACACATTGGAAAATCTAATCTGAATATAAATATATTTTTAATGAAAGATGGCAAATCATATACAAACAAGATATTTCCTATTTTCTTTGTCATGTCATTAATATTAGTAAATGCTTACCATATAGTGACATATACTTGCCAAACATGGTTTTGATTTATTAAGACAGGTTTACCAAGTCAAGGGATGTTTGGATACATCTAAAGCTACAAATTAAAATAGTGAATTTTAGCTCAATGTTTTCATCAAGTTCTTTTTTAAAATTAGCTCTAAGATAGGTTGCCGTGGTTTCAATTAAAATGTTCCCTTCCGACTGGAACTGGTGACTTCACAATGTCTGTTTATGTAATTACCACGGTCTGTATTCCATGTAATACATGTATGTTTTCATGCAAAAAATATTGAAGTAAATTGACTTGGATTTCTATGTTTTAATTCGTCCTGTGTTTTAGCATGTAATCATTAGGCCTGACATGCATGATTATTGGATTGTTCTATCTGTTGTTTTGTTATGTAATCATGTTAAACGTTGAAAGGTTGAAAAGAGTGAAACTTGTAAATTGGTTTGGTTGACATCAATAAATGTTAAGGTTGTTTTAAATTAAGATTGAAAAAAGCAAGTATTACAGAGAAGAGGGGAGAGAGAGAGAGAGAGATTTTAAAAACGGTACAATTAAGGTTCAACTTTCCAAAATCTAGGTAGAAAAATCATGAGAGAGAGAGAGAGAGAGAGAGAGAGAGAGAGAGAGAGAGAAATTCTTGTTTGCTTTCTTCACAACTTGTGCCTCTTGAGGGTGGATTGTTATCGCTCTTTCTAGCCTCCAGGTTCATGCCAATGAACTTTAAACATGTGACTCCTATGTTAGTACTGGCAGGATTTCCTTCCCTGTAATTTGGTTAACCGATCCTGCAATCTGTTATTGTTGCATCAAACAGTGGGCCAACCAGTAGATGAGGGATTGTTAAACAGCCATCTGAATTACTTGTGTAGAGACAAGCATACCCAGTCACTCTGCTTGGGTGTAGTTCATGTTTAAACTTATGACCTCGGGTATCTTTCATCAGATGATGAATGGTGCAGAAGGGATAAAGGGGGTACTATTAGAAGGAGACACACAGGTTTGAATTAGATTGATTTTTATGGGATCATAGATGAATAAATTCTGTGTAGTTTATTGATAGAGCTGGGTCCATACTCATTCAGTTTAATGGTTCTGAAAGAATATCTAGATGGGTGTTACTAGAATATAATTAGGGGGGCATGAAACAACCATTTTATGACATCAATGAGGAGATAATTTGATATCTTTAACATTAAAAAGTTTGCAAGAACAAGTGCAACTCCTGGGAATGCTGATATGGCAAATATAGTCATGGAATGCATCAAAGTGGAAACCTCATTTCTAAGCATGCAAACACGAATGTTTATTTGTGGGACTGATGAAGCCAATGAGGATGAGGTGAGTTATGCCTAGCATTTGGACTCTGGATGAGACAACTATCTTGTTACCCAGTGTTTATGTGCGGCAAGGACCGATCTATTACGATCCTGTTGCAGTCATGATAAGTCAGGCTTTCAGCAGATTTATGAATGGAATTGCCACCGAAGATGGAAGGGGGCGAGTGCATGTTAGGGAGAGAAAGGGAAGAGAGAAAGGAGAAAGAATAGAAATATAAGAGAAAGAGAGATAGTTAAATGGAGAATAAGAAATGAAGAAATATACAATTGATTCTTCAGATATAAGAAGAGATGATAGACTTAGTGTGGAAATAAAGAAAAGAATAAAGGTATGAAGGTTCAGATTTTTGAATTGAGAAAGTTTTGTAACAGGGATCCAATTAAATTGTTAATTATTGATAAATCAGAAAAAGATTGATAAAATTCACCACAGTGGAGATATTGGATCATGACTTTAAAGTTTAAATGAAGTAGAAATTTTCTCAGCATAGCAAAGATAGCTCAGGTAGAACCTAAAAAATCCTACAGAGTAACCTCAGAAAATGTAATCAGAGGGATTAGATTATCATGCAGCAGGATAAAAAAGCACTTCTCATGAAACTTTTGATGACCAAAGTTAAGGTCTTGAACAAGAATAAGTGAGACAGTATCATTCACCTGACAGATTGGGTTTATCAAGCATTCTGCGAAGCCGACAGACAGAAGCGTGTCGGGAGGGCTTTTCAAGAAGCGCAAATTCGGCGGGTATTACGAGGTCCATTTGCTTGATTTCCGTCAATCGGCGGCAGCATCTCTCGCCTGTGTTGCCATGGAGACGGCATGGTCGAAAGGCCTCCAGTTAGGCTACTTTGCTTTATTAGGAGGGCGTGGGCTGCATGCGCAACAGGATGACTCCTCTGAAGAATAACATCTTTGGCGATGACTTACTTGAGAAGAAGGGTGCATGAGTGACAGTCACTTGGTGTCGGCTCACATTATGAGACGTGTTATATAGATGTTTACTTTAGCAGCTTCCGTGCAAGATTCGTGTTGAGGAAAAAGCCAGGATGAATAAGATGTACAATAATGAAAGTAGACAAATGAATGAATGAAGTGGATATATTGAGATATATATGTGTCAGTCAAGCTTCACCCGTGATCTTCTTTATCTTTCATCATCTGTTAACACAAAGTATGTGCTTTACAGTATGTTCAGTGCCTAGGTTTGCATGGGATGATTTGAAAAAGTTACTACTTTAGACAAGTATAAATTTAGATTAAGTTGAATTAGAAATCCTTTGTGTCAAGTCAGTAACCATTACAATAGTAAGGTGGGAAATAATTATTTATTCTGTTCTGTGATGTGAGTGGGATAAGCATGGGCATTGTGAAATTCTAAATATATTAAAAATGAAAGTAAATGAGAGAAAGAATCCTTATGAATAATAATTCATGTGATATTTCATGTGTCATGATCTTGGTACTTGTTGTTGTTTTTATATATATATATATATATATATATATGTCTCTGTTTTTCTCATGTTGTATGTACAATGTATCTTGTATGTTTGCATGGCTTGCCTGCTCTCTGTGTATTTCATACAACTTAAGATGCTACAGGAATCTTGATTTCTTTGAGGCTCTATATTTTTTTGCTTGTTTTGGTAATTAAGAATTGAATTTTATAACAGTGATGATGAATATTGGTAAGACCTTCTACAGTTGTAACAATACTTGTGTTTACATCTTGAGGTTTGTTTATATTTTTAATCTTTTTTTAGTTGATCTGTTTTTTCAAAGAATTCTTACAGTCATTTGTGTAATTTTATTTTGATCCTGTACACTGTGGATCCTTTCTGGAGGGTTGCATTTTGGGAAAGATATTGATTAACCGAAGAACAAAGTGTGTGTTTCTTGTTCGAAATTTGTTGTTGTTGGTTTTATTGACTCATCTACTCAATAGAATTTGAGTATGGCTAGTCTTTTTTAGTAAGAAAAGAGCATTGTTATGCTGCATGCATAGATACATTTACTCAAAATAATATTTTCTAACAGTGGTATATTTTAGGGATATTAATCCAATAGACTTTGAGTAATGGTAGCATTGTCATATGAGTCGTGATGAATGCTCAGTTGTGCATTCTATCTACATAACAATACATTTATGATGTATAGAAGTATAGATCACCCTTTGTTAGGTTTAGTAATATATGACCATAGCTCATTTTTTTTGAAAGCTCAGTCATCAAATAGTCTGTATGATGATAGTATTCAAACTATTGTCATGAGGTGTCCTCTTAGTGAAAGGGGATAACAAATGCTGTGGCAACCATAAATAACAGGATGGATACTTGTTTGATTGTGTTACAGTTTAGAAAACGCAGAAAGTGTAGAAAGTGCAAAAGGGTAAGTTTTTTTGGCATGAAAATTGCAGGATTGTCTTATATTGCGTTTTAAGAACTCTTGCACATAGTGATGCTATATCTTCTGCCAGATGAAGGTGAGAAGAAGGCATGCACCTCCTATTTGAAACAATGCACTTTCTGCTCCAGAAATTATGCTGAGTTGGGACCAACCAGTCCTATTTCTACATTTTTTCATTTTTTTTCTGTCTGTAGTAGTAAAATTTCATCGTGAATAAGGTAGTATTATTCACTTAGTTTGGTATATAAAATCGTTTCTAAACTTTGAAACATGAAAAGGATCACGTAAAACTTGTAGTATGCACTTCTGTGACATAAAAATGCTATGAAAAGTCTTCAAATTGACACTCTAGTTAGTATTTGCAACACATCTTTAGAATTGGGCAAAGCATCAACAATTATAATTCTTCTTCATTATTTTCAAACACATAGAAATATACCTCTTCAAATAGGTAGAGTGATAGTATCTTGGAACGCTTGCCCTCGATAACAGTCTTTGATCTAGAGCCAGTGATTGGATGATCTTATTCACACCTCGTCTGCTCCCAGAAGAAATTTACCCATCCATCTTTCATCAAATTGTAATTGCAAACACCAACTGCTACTCCATTCTCTTGGCATCAAGAATTGCAAAAGATGTAGTTTATCATCTAGCTGTAGGAGTAGGCATATTGAAATAATGGCTTGGTGTTATCACT